TACGAATGCGTGGGAGGCGGTGGCGCCATTGCTGACGGCGCGAGACACTTTTGGTCTTGCCCTCGCCGCCGGCAAGCTGTACGCTGTGGGCGGCGACTCCAACGGGCCATCGGTGGAGACGTACGATCCGACTACAAACGCATGGGAGGTTGTGGCGCCGATGGCGAAGGGGCGGCACGGTCCAGGCGCAGCGGTGCTCGACGGCAAGCTGTACGCTGTGGGCGGCTACAACCACGAGGACAGCTTTCTCTATCTCAACTCGATGGAGCGGTACGATCTGGCTTCGAATGCGTGGGAGGCGGCACCACCGATGGCAACGGAGAGGGCATCTTTCGGCCTTGTCTCGCTGTAATTTTGAACCCAGGTTTTGTCTACTATTCCATTGCATTGCTGTGGCAGCCTGTGCGCGGACCGCCGCACAGCCGCGGTACCGGGTTGGCTGCCGCCGCTGTGTCTCGGCGCCTCTCGGCCGCCTCTCGGCTGGCATCTCGGCCGCCTCTCGGGCTTGGAGCAGGGGCGCGCCTGCCGCCTCTCCGCCTTGCGCCGCACCTCCTCCCCGGCCCGTTGGTGCAGCGGCCGCCCGTCGGCCGCGAGGCTGCTCGCCGCGATGCTGAGCGAGGTCGGGTTGACGCGCGGCGCGTACGGGTACCGCGCCGCCTACAGGCAGCCCCCGAGACGCTTGCAGCCAAGCCCATCCCTCTCCTGGTGTGCCGGTCGCGAGTGCTGCCGCGCTGCCTCCCACGCACCCGCCGTCGCAGCGCAGCGGTCCCGCGCCGCAGCGCGCTCGGTCGCCGCGCTGTGCAGCCGCTCGCCCGCCGCCGCCGCCGCCGCCGCCGCCGCCCTCTCCTCTCGGCGCGCCAACCGCTCCGGTGAGCGGCCGCCACCTCCGCCGCCACCCACCCCGCCACCACCACCTCCTCCACCTCCTCCACCTCCTCCACCTCCTCCTCCTCCTCCGCCTCCTCCGCCTCCTCCGCCTCCTCCGCCCGCCCGGCTGCCCGCCAGCTCTGGACGAAAGGTGCACAGCGCCAGCTCGGCCCTCTCCCGCTCGCGCCTCGCCGCCTCGCGCCGCACCTCCGTCTGCTGCGCCGCCGCAAACAGCCGCTCCCCCGCGCTTCCGCGCCTCGAGAGCTCGCGCGAGCGAGCGTTGATCCGCGGCGCGAAGGCGGCGGCCTCGGCGCCGCAGCTCTGGCCGTCGCCCGCCGCCGCCGCCGCCGCTCTCCGGGTCGGCGCACTCGCGGGCCGCTGCGGCCGTGCTGCATGCTCGGCCGTCACTGTGCGGTGGTGGCGGAGCTGAGCCGGAACGGGCGCGGCAGCCCGCGGCGGCGAGCGGCAGCGGCGACTCGTGGAAGGAGGGTGGGCGCAGTCCGGAAGCGGATGGTCGACTCGCGGTTGGTCAGGTACAGGTGCCGGTGGCGGCAGAGAAGGAGGCGCAGGCGGAGGCGGAGGCGGAGGCGATGGCGGCAGTGCAGGCTCCGCTGCGGAGAGCTGCCGGCCAGCCGCGCGCTCGCGCTCTATCCGCCTCTCCTCGAGGAGCCGCTGGATCAGAGCGTCCCTCTCACGCCGGCGTCGCTCCACGTCGGGCTGCGCTGCTGCAGGAGGCTCTTGCGAAGCGTTGGCTAGCATTTTCCGCGCGTTCTGGCCCGTTATTCCATGTTCACAGCGTCTTCGCGAACTGGCACAGAAGGTTCGAGACGGCACGGATCTTGTGCTCCTATGCGCGGGTAGGATTGAGTCCTGTCACGGCGATCTGCTGAGGAAGGGGATCCTAGCCGAAGCGGCGCAACTCGAGGCCACCAGCAAGAGGAAGCCGCGCTCCGACAAGGGCAAGCCGTCGAAAACCGCCCCCTTTAATTCATTGCGGCCGCGGGTGGTTGCTCGGATTACTTTTCCTCCGAAGACATACTAGTTTTTTGGCGTTCTGGTGCCTCCAAAAAATGTCCGAGATCCCATGGAGCTAAAAAAAAGGTTTGCGGCGGTCACTGTCCTACCAGCGCGGGGCAGAGTGGGCCGCGGACCACACGTGTGACGTGAAGGACCTTAATTCCTTCTCTCCAGAGAGAGCCCATCTCTTGGTTCTGTCCACCCTTAGGGTGCCCTCTCGAGATCTCGCCGGGGGGTTCTGCTCCAAGAGACCTCGATAGTGCGTCCGTGTGTTTTTGCTCGTTAGGACGTGTGTGCCCGCCGCTTTTGTATTATTAATTATACACCATCTCGGCGGCCAAAAAGCCTGGACCTGAGAGTGGGAGTCAGAACGAGGGTGGGTCCACAGAAGAGGGTACACCGTACGCAGAGGCCGGAGGGCCGCCTTCAGCCCTGCCCGTTGGAAGGGAAGGTCTTGATCGCCGCGCGCGCCATCGCCCTCTCGAGCACGCCGTTGCGCCGCCGGAGCTCCGCCACCTCCTCCTGCAGCCGCGCCAGCTCCGCCTTGAGCGAGCGGGCCTGCAACGGGTCCTTCGTGGCGGCCAGCACCCGCGCCGACACCTCCTCGAGCGCGTCGTCGTCGACCTGCCGGCCGAGCGACTGCACCACAAAGGTGTCCTCCACGCGCCGCTCGTCGAGCGACGACGAGCGCGCGTGCATCTCGACCACCCTGCAGCCGGCAGAGGCGAGCGCCGCCGTCATCGAGGCGAGCACGCCTGCTCACGACAGCGAGTGTGCGTGGCCTGATGGGTTGTCAACGCCGCCGTCGTCGAAGCGAGCTCTGCCGTCGATGTCGGGCCCGCGCACCTGTTCACGGCTGAGCGCTGTGAAGAGACGCTGGCCCGCGCCTGCACCCCATCTCCAACGGCGTCGCACCGTGAGGGTCGTCGCGTCGGGCCTCGCCGTGTTGTCCGCGTGCACCTCGAAGCCAAACTCGTCGAAGCTCCCGTCGAGAGCGCCGCTCTTGAGCGTCGACGACCGCTCCTAATTAATCAAATTAATATTACATTAATTGATTAATTCATTAATCGCTCTTGAGCGTCGACGGCCGCTCCTGCTCACACACCGGTGTGCCAGGTGACGGGCGGCCTCCTCAGCCGCTCTTCTCGAGAGCGCGCTCCGTGTCGATGAGCAGCAAGTTGACGAGGCCGAGGCAGCAGCCGCTCACCTGGCGAGGAGACGCGCTGCCGTGAAGACACCCGAGTCCCGTGAAGAGACCCTGCCGCGAAGACCGCCGGGAAGGCAGCCGCCAGAATGGTTGCCGACTACAGCTGCGCTGACGATGGCTACTGCTCGCGCTGCTGATGTTGCTGGCGCTGCTGATGGCTACTGCTCAGCTCACCACTCCAACCAGCGAGCCGAGCAGCGCGACCCGCTTGACGAGCGGCAGCTTCCGCTGGTCGAGGGAGAGGCCCGCCGTCGGCCGTAGCCCGGCCCGCCTCAGCATCGCCTCGAGTGTGCCGCCAAAGAGCACGCCGGCCGAGTCGGAGCAGACCTGGCCGAAGGCGGCGGCCTATCGCAGGGCTTCCACGCACACGTCACGCTCCGTGTGGCTGGTTCTGGCCAAACGCGGAGTGCCGTGAGGGTGGAGAGGCCGAAAGACACGCCGAGGGTACAGTCGATTGCGTTGCCGGCCTGGATCATCACCGTGTTGTCCATGAAGCCGAAGCCAACCATTGGCAGCGCGGACGCGATGAAGTGCCGTTTGAGCTGCTCCGCCGTCGGCCGCTCGGTCTCCGCCTCTGCAAACGCCGCCCTAGAGCTGCAGCGCCTTCTTCCGACCAGGCGCCTTCTGCCGACCAGGCGGGCGGTGGCGAGCCGAGCGCGGAGCATGCAAGTCGGAGAGCAGTTCACTGTGGGGCGTGGCCGGTACTTTCACGGCCCAAGGGTGGGGGGATATGGTCCCTCGGCCCTCCCTCTACTGCCGCCGCCGAGCCCGCAGCGCCATGAGCTAGGAGCACGCGCCCGTGTCGCGGAGCTGCTGGAGCGGCTCCACGCTCCACTCGCCGTCACCCTTCTGGTTGCGGAGCGCCTCAATGTCGCGCGAATCAACATAGCCGTCGTTCAGAATGCGGCAAGATCTCAAACGCCAGCCGTCCAAGTTGGTTGACCTTTGTGTTGCGCTCCTCCTTATTTGCGAGGTTACGCATCTCGGTGACCAGCGCGAGCAGCGATGCCTTGGTGCAGCGCCAGCAGAGAGTGATGATCTCCCGCGGATGATTTGAGCACGCCCGTTGCTGCCGTGCCGTGATAATGCTCAAGCAGCAGCTGCAAGAACCGGGCCTTGCAGCCAGACTCTAAGAAAAAGGGTCCCTCTCGCTCGTCGTCATCGCTCTAGTCTGGCGCGCCCGCAGGCCCCGGCGGAGCCTAAGGCGTGTTGCCGAGAGCAACTCCAATAACTCCGGAGCGAGAACACGACCCCATAGGCATAGCGCGGGGAGGTCCACCTTGGGCTCGGCACCGGCTTTGCTTGGGAACACTCTCCATTGAAGCGCGTGGCTTGTGCTCCGTTTTGCCACCATGTTATTATTGATCGTGAAATCAAAACTAGCACCTCGCCTCTCGAAAACAAAACAAATCTCTTTCACAGTCCATGGCGCCCGCTGCTGCCGCCGACCCCAACCGAGCGCAAGCCGGCAGCAAAGAACGTGTGGCAGTGCTCTGCAAACGAGGCGACGGGGCCTCGACGGCTAGCGTCGGCCTCGCCCCCACGTGGGGAACGCTCGCCGCCTCATTCGAAGAGCTCCAGGAGTTCTTCGACGCCTTCCCCGAGAAAGATGAGCGCGCTCTCGATCGGTCCGGGGCGCGGGACGCGGAAACGCCACGCGGGGACCGTCGCTGGCCGCCTCGGCCGCCCGGGCAGGCGGAGCCTCGCCACCGCCCGATCGCGCAACCTCAGTCGCGGCGGCGGGCCGCGCCGGTGGAGGAGGCGCCAGTAGTCGTCGGTGGTCAGCTCGACCATCCGGCTGAAACCGTGGTCAAACGTGTCATTCGCTGCCTGCAGCCCATCCCGCTCTGTCGGGCAAAGGCAGGCGACCATCCCTCCAGTCGGAGTGGCGACCACGTACCATTTTAGCGGCGGTGGTTTGGCCGGAGGCGGCGGCGCCTTGCGGCAGAGGGGGCAGCGCAGCGAGCGGTCGGCGTGAGCGCACCGCGTCACGCAGTGGTGGCAAAAGCTATGCCCGCAGCCTGCATGCCGCTCAACCGCGAGACGGGTGGCGCGTCCGGCATCGCGTTTGTCGAGTTTGGTTCGCCCGAGCTCGTCGCCGCCGCCGCGCGGCTCAACGGGGAGGACCTGATGGGCCGCTCCCTCAAGATCAACGTCGCGGAGAGCAAGCCCGACGCCAAGAGGCAGCACAGCGCGCCGCCGCCGCGGCCGCCGGCCGCCGCCGCTGCCAGGCAGTCGCCGCCGCGGAAGCGCCCGCCGCCGCCTCCCCCGCCACGCCGTTCGCGTTCGCCGCAGCGGCGCGACCGCTCGCGCGGCCGTGAGCGCGGCCGCGACCGCTCGCGCAGCCGCGACCGCAGGGATCGCGACCGCAGCCGCGGCCGCAGGGGCCGCAGCCGCAGCCGCAGCCACGACCGCAGCCGCAGCCGCGATGGCAGGGGCCGCGACCGTAGCGACCACAGCGACGGCCGCGAGCGGCGCGAGCGTAGCCGCGAGCGCGTGAGAGCGTCTGCGAGCAAGTCGCGCTCGCGCTCGCCGGCAGACGGCGACGACGAGAGGTCCTCCAGCGAGGAGCGCCGCCCGCGCCGCCGCCGACGCGACCGTAGCCGCAGCCCTCCCTCTCACAGCAGCGGGCGGCGCAGCAGCGACGGCGGCAGCTACGGGGTGTGGACCCTGAGTTGACCAGGGGTTGTGCGCTGGGCCCTCCTGCTCGGCTCCAGCCAGTAGACAAGTCTTGTCACTAACAGAGTAGATGGATCTGACCTCGGGGCCGATGTGACCAAGCGCTGGTACCGTGGTTTTACCTCCCACCCATGGTCTCACAGTGTGCCGGCCGTCGCCGAGCAGTGTCGCTCACACAAGCCGCAGCACAAGTGACTGAGGGCCAGTGAGGGCGAGCCCATCGCTGTCACAGCTGTGGCAGCCGCACAGTAGGCTGTGTCACCTGTGCAAGAGTGTGTGAGCAGCAGAGGAGCTGCTCTCCAGGCTTCTGTCGCAAAGAGCTGCATGCCACCGAAAGCGCTGTCGAGGTTCGCCGAGCGCGGCGAAATCGAGGGACACCGCCACCGACGAGCGCGTTGGACTTTTCACTCCGGACAAAGACCGCTGCACAGCGGATGGTATGGGCCGTGCAGCGGTCATAGCGGCGAGGCGCGGGACCGTCTGTGGCGAAGTGGGTCGCGTCCCTCGATTTCCTCAACTCACGGTCCGCTCCCTCTAGCGCGAGCGCACGACTTGAGAGCTGACACACTTGGCTTCGCGAGCGGGCCACGTTGCACGGCCGCGGCGCACGGACTTCGCACCAGCGGCCAGTCCAGGCTCCAGCCCGCGGTGCAGCGGCACTCGACAGACTCGTCGAGGGTGGGGCTGTGGACGCCGTGGCCGTGGCAGGAGGAGGGGGAGGCGGGAGCTGCACATGTCCAAACCCTTTTATTTCACGTTCAGCAAGTAATGCGACGAAGCTTGTTGTGCGCACGCTCCCCTCTGCCTCACCGAGGCTCACCCTCCCCGATCTACGACCCCAGCCGCCCGGCCGCTGGCCGGGCCGGCGCGCGATACGCCTCGCCTCGCAGGCAACTACGCCGGCGCGCCTCTCTGCTGCGCATCCCCTGCCCCAACTCCCTAACCCCCAACCACGCCTCTGGAGACCGCTCCAGAGAAGGCGCGCCGCGCACAGCACACCGCTGCGCGAAAGCCCCCATACCGCCGCCTCCACCGAGTCAGGGCACCGCCCCGCCTCCAGAGCCGTCGCCCACGGTGGTTGCCGTCGCAGAGCTGCGGCGGCTGATCTTGAGGACGAGCCGGCTGCCGTGCTCGGCGATGCTGGCCGAGAGGCGGCTCATGCTGGCGACGCTGCCCGACCGAGCGGGAGTCGCGCCGAGGTCCTTTGCCAGAAGCGCAAGCGACACCTGCGGAGCGGAGCGCCCTGGCTGGTGAGTGTACCGCCGATGCGCAAGGCAAGATGTGGAGAGAGACAAAGCGCGCGCCGGGTGGTGGCGCCCCGGGAAGCACGAGCGTGCCAGGCTCTTGTAGAGTCCGTCGGCGATGAGCTCCTACAAGGAAGGGCACGCGTATGGGGGGAGATTGAGGCGCCTGAGATTGAGTGCATCATGACCCCAACCCCGGCCCGCTCCTGCGGCGTGACTTCGAAAAACCTCGAGAACTGGCAGCCACCGCGGTCCGGGTCGTTCTCGTGCGCCATGACGATCGGCAGCTTGTCCTCGCGCGCCTGCTTGACCTGCTCGGCCAGCCGCGCGTCGCTGACGAAGCTGTCCTCGTTGAGGTAGAGCAGCATGTGGGTCGCTGGCCCAGGCGCCTCGGCGGTGGAGACGGTGAGACCGGCAAAGGCGGTGGCGATCTCGTCGGCCAAGACCTGTGCGCCCGCGTTGGCCGGCGAGGCCCAGAGGAGGGTCTGTTTGGCAAAGGCGAGCGACTGCCTCTCGGGCTCGCCCGGCACGAAGAGCGGGAGGGAGGTCTGGTTCAGATAGTTGGGCGAGCAGAGGAGCACAGCCTACGGTTCAAGGGTGCCGGGGCTGAGGTCTCGGGGGGGTGCGAGAGGACTGCGGCTGGCTGTGACCCGCTGCGCCTCGACGATGGTCTTGAGGGAGACGCGTTGAAACTCTTTGATTCGCATCCAGATGGTGTGCGTCAAGCCCTGTTCAAAGATGGCCGGCCGCAGGTCCTCGGGGCATTCGCCGCGCAGCGCCTGCAGCGTCCCCCCGCCCTTGGCAGGGTCCGCCTCTTGGACGAGGACGATCGGCTTGGTCTGCTCGAGCGACGAGCGGATCTCGCGGAGACAGTTCTGGTGGCACGCAAGCAGGCGGGCGGTGAGCCGCGGGGAGTGTCGAGGGGCGCAGCTCAGACTCGGGTGCGTTGAGAGCCAGAGGATACCGAGCGCGGGACAGGGCGGCGAGAGCGCGCCTGAGAGCGGAAGTAGCCACACGAGAGGAAGAAGAGGATCATTTGCGTGCGCTGGATGTACTCCTCCAGCGCCCCAATATCCTTGAGATCATCCACCTGTGAGGACACGATGCGCGGTCAGAGGCGTTGTCGCCGTACGCAGAGCGATGAGCAGTCACTGTGTGCGCGCGTCTAGAAAGATCTTGAGGCCCGGCAGCAGCAGCTGCAGCTCGCCCTTGATGACCCCGACGGTGTCTTGACCGGTCGACCTACATGGTTAGGGGTGGAGCTGGATCGTGCGGTCTGGATTCCACCCTCCCTAGCTGCGTGACTCACCAGATGTGCGAGAGGAACAGGTGCCACGTGAGGCCGGTCACGATGCTCAGCTCGGGGGGCTGCTTGGTCGAGACGAGACGGATCGTGGGAACCTTGGCGACGCGGCGGGCGGCGACGACGGCGCCGATTAAGAAGAAGACGAGCACGACTGCAACGAGGCCGATCATCGTGTCCACGATCGCATTGAGGCTCCGGAAGCCGAGGACTGCATCGGCGTCATCGATCCCTGAGCGCTCCTCGATGCCGAGGAAGACGGTGCTCCAGTTGGTGCCGAGGAAGAGGACAAGGAGCACGAGGCTCGTGGCGACGGCCAGCACGTTGTCCTCGACCCGCTTGTAGGGCCGCACGACGGCGAGCACGACAGCGTAGAAGGAGCAGACGAGGATCGCCACCACGAGGCGAAGGAAGGCGTTTATCTCCGGGATCAGCAGCACGAAGCCCGTCAGCACGAGCTTGCGTGCCAGCTCGACCGCCTCCCACCAGCACCAGGTCTTATTGTACTCGCGGTGAAGGAAAGCGGTGGCCCGCGTCAGCGCATTCGGCGACTTGGCCTTCAGCGAGTTGTAGCAAGCGGCGAGGAGCGACGTGAAGAGGACCAACGAGCCAACGGGCCAGAGGACGATGCAGCCGATGGCGAGATTCTTGATGAGCCCGTGATTCTCGGTGCCGCACTCGACGCTCGCATCCTGCCGCATGTAGGAGACCTGCTCCAGGCGCTCGTTCGGCGGAGAGATGGTGTAGGCCTATCAGCAGAACAAGGCCTGAGGGGCGGGGTTGTGAGCAGCGGCTGTCATCAGCTGGAGCGCCTGGCAACTCCACGCGCGGAAGATGGAGGCGCTGATGGAGGGCACGAAGCAGAAGATTAGGAAGAGGCCGGCCGGCGTAAGGTCAAGAATGCCGAGGGCCGCCTCCGCGTACAACGATCCCTCGCGCGGCGCCGGCGCGGCACGCCAGCGGAGGAGCCGCAGACTTATTCCCGATCCCATCAGCAGTGCGATGAGGGCGACGGGCGAGAGAGCGACGGCGAGGAGCCGCATACCGTAGCCGAGGCACTGCTCTGGCAGAATGAAGTCCGACCAGTTTATGGGAGATCACGTTGGCCAGCTTGTCGGTCCAGCCCGTGTACTTGTCCGGCAGCCGCGCAGAGTAGGTGGAGGACAAGACCGTGCTGATCTGGTAGAAGCCGAACAGGATCTTGAGCTTGGCCGTCATTCCGCCCCCGACGTAGTACTTGACGGAGCGGTCAGCAAAGCGGAGGAGAGGGCCGATGAAGGTCTTCTTCCGCCAGGCCGTCATGCTATAGGCCCACGCCGCCAGGCCGCACGCGACGCAGAGGCCGAGGCCGATGCCGGCGATGCGACCCGCTGCTGCGTCGCGCGGAGCGCACTCCTTGCACTCGTCGCCGTCGACGAGGTAGTGATTCTCCGCGGCGCAGAGCTGGCACTCGGGGCCGGTGAAGCCAGGAGCGCAGTACTCGTCCAAGCCCGCCTCCTCCAAACGGCGAGACGCCTGCTTGGCTCCGCGCTCGTTGCCGGCGCACCGCGCCTCGCCGGCCCTGTCGCCCCCAAAGTCGCGGCACGCCGTCAGCACGGCGGAGGAGGGGCTGGCGCGCCAATAGCCGGCTGGGACGCCGATGGTCGCGAGAGCGGTGTTGTCCGAGCACTCGGCGCTTGGCGGGCAAGGCTTGCAGTAGTCGGTCGGGGAGGAGAAGATCTCGATCGGGTCGGCGCTCTGGAGCAGGTAGAAGTCCTTCTGGCAGAACGAGCAGATGACGGCGCCGCGCTCACTACTGAGGGGGTAGGGGCAAGGGACGCACTGGCCCTGGCCGGGGTTGGCGGCGTACGTGCCTGCGGCACACTCGCTGCAGGCGCTGCTGCCGACGCCAGAGGTGGTGCCGGGCTCACAGCGCTCGCACTTGGAGAGGCCGGCCGTGGCGGCGTAGCTGCCCTTGGCACACGGCGTCTGCTGCGTGGCGCCCGTGGTGGCGAAGTGGCCCGGATCGGCGTCGGTGCACTCGCTCGCGCCGGTCGCGCCCTGGTAGGAGCCCTCGACGCACAGCTCGCAGACCTCGTTGCGCGTGCCGCGGGCGAAACTGCCCGCGCCGCACGCCGTCTGCTCGGTGGCGCCCCGGGCGGCGATGTAACCCGGATCGGCGGGCGCGCACTGCGACGCGGCCGACAGGTCCGTCTTGTCCGAGTAGGAACCGCCCTCGCACGGCAGCGGCCTCGACGCGCCCGGCTCGCAGTAGCTGCCTTTCTTGCAGTCGCGGCAGCCCGTCGCGCCCATGTCGTTCTGGTAGGAGCCAGCAAAGCAACGCTCGCACTTGGAGAGGCCGGGCGTGGCGGCGAAATGGCCGGGCTCACAAGGCTCGCACGTCTCGCTGCTCACCGCCCCTGGTGCCGCGCTCGCCGTGCCGATGGGGCACAGCTCGCACGCCGCGCTCGAGCTGGAGCCTCTGTTCGGGTTGAAGCTGCCCGCGGGGCAAGGCTGCCAGACAAGGCGCGAGGCGGCGCCCGCGTCCTCGCAGACGCCGCCCGTCGGGCAAGCCTCGCATGCGGCGCTGCCGACGTCGGGGGAGAAGGAACCCGCGGCGCAAGGCAAGCACTCCTCCTGGCCGCTCTCTGGCTGGTACTGGCCGGGGGCGCAGAGGAAGCAGTCCGAAATGTTCGCCGCCCGCTCGTTGGGCATGTGGGTGCCGGCGGGGCACTTCTGTGGGAGGACGGATCCCTTCGGGCAGAAATGGCCGGGCCAGCAGGGGCCGCTGCAGTCGGAGGTGAAGTGGTCCGACGCGTTCCCGTAGTTACCCTCGGCGCAGAGCCTGTTGCAGCCGGACAGGTCGCCGATGATCTGGCCGACGTTCGGCATCCAAGATCCGAGCGGGCAGTCCCACATTAGAGGCGAGGCGGCGAGGATCGCGATGTTGCCTGGCGCAGAGTTGCCGAAGAAGGTCGTGTTGCGGAGGATCGAGCCGGAGGTAGCGATGCGGGAGGAGAAGAAGAGTGCAGCGGGGGTTCCGCTCGCGATGCTGTCGACAAACTGCGAGTTGGCGAGAGCTAGGCGCTTGATGCCATTGAGATAAAGAGCCTACAAAAGAAAGAACAGGGTCTGGTCTCCCGCTTCAGTCTCTGCACCCTCTTGTGGAGGGGGCGCGCGGCACCGCTTGAACGTGACTCGTGCAACGGACAAAGCGGGCGCTCTCCAGCGAGACGTCGCCGCTGTTCTCCACGCTCATACCTCCTCCCCACTGCGCAAGTTGGGGCGGGAAGGCGTAAGCGGGGAGGGCGAGAGAGCGAGAGAGGGCGGGCAGGGCCCAGAGCGGCCCTTTTGGGGAATGCGTCCCCCGTTTGCCGAACCATGTCCCTCTGCCTTCTTCTCCCGCGGCGATGGCGTGCGAGCGTGCGTGTGCGGGGGAGGCGAGCGTGCGTGTGCGGGGGAGACGCACAACAGCCGTGCATTCGCTGAAGCTGGCGCCGTCCAGCGAGACGACGCCGCTGTTGAACACGCGCATACCTCCTCCGTACTGCGCGAGTTGGGGCGGGCAGGCATGAGCGGGGAGGGCGTCAGGCGAGAGGGGGGGCATCCACAGCATTCCAATGTGGCGAGGGCGTGCGGGGCCGAGCGGTGCGTGGGAGAGAGGAGCGGCGCACCTCGGTGGCCTCGCAGCCCGTGAAGGACACGTCCTTCGTCGCAATGTCGCCAGCGCCATAAGCGCTTACCGCACCGCCATCTTCACCAAACCCGTCCACAAAGTGCAGCGCCTCCAGGTAGAGGCTGCAGCCGCCTGTGATGAAGAACATGTTGGAGCTCTTCTTGCCGTCGAGCGTCGCGCCTTCCCCGCTGCTCCGGACCGAGAGGTGCATGTCGCCGCTGCACGCGACGTTGCTGCTAAAGGCAAGGCGGGCGCCCGGCGGGACATAGACGCTCGCGTTGCGGCCCTGGTCCACGGCCTTGTTGATCTCGTCCCGGACGTCTTGAGGCGTGTGGGCAACGGCCTCGCCGGGGACGAGCGGGGGCAGCGGCTGTGGCGGGAGCTGCGGCGGTAGCGGCGGCGGAAGCGGCGGCGATGGCGGCGGCGGCGGCGAGCAATCAATGCCACCAGCAGCAATGCACACTTCAGTAGGAACGTTGTGATAGCATCCCGAAGGTTCACTGCACGCGGGGGCGACGCACTTGCACGCGACGCATTCGAAGAAGAGAGATTCGCCACATGGATCCCCGTCGTTGTCGCTCCGCTCGCAGTGGTTGCTGTCGTCTTTCAGACGGCATTCGCCGTCTGCTCCGCCCCCCCACTGGCAGTCGGCGTCGCCCGCCACAGCGTTTCCGTCGCCGTCGCGCGTGCAGCCTGCGCAGCCGTCCGACTCGCTGCAAACACCATCCCCGTCATTGGCGGTCGATCGCTTGAACGAATGCAGAGGATCCGTAGGAGTCGCAGCCTCAACTTTGCCGACGAGTAGCGCTGCGGCGCCCATGCGGACGGCGGCGTCGAACGCCTTCTTGCGCGAGACGAGCAGCACGGAGGCCCCAGCGAGGCCAGCCTCAACAAGCTTCCGCGCCTTGTTTCCTGGCTTCCCAGCGTCGGCGGGCCGCAACTTGGGCGACGTGTCGTTCACGGGCAGGACGGTGTCGCACCCCCGAGCGATGATCCCCGTCCTGTTGCTGTAGACGGGACCGACAAAGTCGATCTCGGGCTCGCCCTCGCGCTCCGTGCTGTTGCGCGAGGCCGGGACGGTCTCCAAGTCGGCCTCGGCCTACTCGCAAACACACAGGCAATCCGTCAGCGGGCTACAACGGCTCGCACACAGAAACAGCCGAGGGGCGCTCACCGGCTGCTTCTCGTAAACGTCCTTGATGATGGACGCCGGCGGCTGGCCAAGCACGTGCAACGGCTCGCCCACCGCCTCTTTGACGTTGTCCATCAGTGCTTCCAACGAGCGCCCCTCGTCGTGCCCGCCCTGAACAGCGCGCGGGCTGTGGGTCACGAGCTGGCGCGGTGCGGGTACTAGCAAGCGCGAGCGAGCAAGCACCGGGTGATCGGCGGGCACGCTGTCCGAAGAGGCGATGGCTGCAAACGAGCTGCTGGTGTCGTCGCCGCCAATCTCGCAGAAGCCGTTAAGCGATGCCGGCGCGATCGGCGTTGTGACTGTGGGAAAGGAAGTCGGGGACTCGT